GCTTCTTGAGAGCTGTGCTTTGTCTTGCTCATTACTATTCTTGGCATGTGGCATGGTGCTTATAAGGTGCTCAATTCCATGAACATTAAGGGAGAATCTACTAGGGACCAGGCTCTGTACTGGGCACTGGGACTGCAGTAATGAATGAGACAGACAAGGCTCTTGTCCTCTTGGAGCACACATCCTGAAGAATGCTCGCTGAGTGACAGGAGGAAGGGAGACGGCTTGTGTTAGTGAAGACCTTAACTATTTAATGCATGGAGTAATGAGGTGACTCTTGATCAGGTTAAAAGGGGGTGGGTATATTGACATTTACCAAAAACTTACTATGACCCATTTACCTTTTGGGCACCTAATCGTCATGCCATTTAATCCACTTACTAACTGAATTATAGGCATTTTCCCATTTTATAGAAAGATGGCATACCTTGCCCAAGGTCTCACTGTTAGAGGTGAGGGAATTAAAATGGAAAACTGTGTCACACCAAGGCACATCATAATTACATTAGCCAAGGCAAAAATGAAGGAGAGAATCCTAGAAGCATCAAGAGATAAGGAGACAGTTACCTACAAAGGAGTTCCCATCAGACTGTCAGCTGATTTCTCAAAAGAAAACTTGCAGGCAAGAAGGGGCTGGAAAGAAGTATTCCAAGTCATGAAAGGCAAGGACCTACATCCAAGATTCCTCTATCCAGCAAAGCTTTAATTTAGAATGGAAAGGCAGATAAAGTTCTTCTCAGATAAGGTCAAGTTAAAGGAGTTCATCATCACCAAGCCTTTATTATATGAAATGTTACAGGGACTTATCTAAGAAAAAGAAGATAAAAAACATGTATAGTAAAAGTACAGCAAACTCACAATTATTAACAACCACATCTAAAACAAAAACAAAAAGAAACTAACCAAACAACTAGAACAGGAACAGAATCGTAAAAGTGGAGATCACATGGAGGGTTAGCAATAGGGGAGTGGGAGGAGGAGAGAGGGGGAAGGTACAGAGAATAAGTAGCATAGATGGTAGGTAGAAAATAGACGGGAAGGGCAAGAATAGTATGGGAAATTTAGAAGCTAAAGAACTATGGCACATGGACATGAACTAAAGGGGGGGAATGTGGGTAGGAGGGGGTGTGCAGGGTGGAGGGGAATGAAGAGGGAGTAATGGGACAACTGTAAATAGCATAATCAAGAAAATATATTAAAAAAAAAAGAATTCCCACTTACCCAAGGCAAGGGTCTTTGTCTCTTACAACTGTCAGGTGTGCTGAAGGGGCCTATTTGTGCTTCTGTACATGTTTCAAAACAGGCACTGTGTCTTAGTAAGAGGATTCAACACCTATTAGGCTGTGGAGTTAACAATTCATTGTCATTGGAAAAAACAGGCATCATTACTTTCACTTTGTACAGAGAGAAACCGAAGCTGAGAGAGGGGTGCTGATTTATCTAAGACAAAAGGCCTGAACAGAGAAGACTTGAACTCCCCTGCCTGACTCCAGACTTTCCGTGTGCACCATCATCCCAAAAATATGCACTAAACATCCTCTGGGGTCCAGGTTCTCTGCAAGGTGATCACACTCACTGGAGAGAGAAGCCACGTCCATGCACTGTGCTCCTCTGCTGGTGTCTGTTCATAGGAGGTGCCAGTCATGACCTTGTCCACCCTCCTTTTCTCTCCCTGGGGTTGCGATACTGGAGTTCAGGACACAGTCAGGGGACCTGCCATTGTCCCTGTTAGACACTATTTTTTAGGGCCACTGTAAGGCTCTAGCCTATTGAAAGCCTTTGGGATTCCAGTACTGTTGCCCACTCTCTGCTCTGCCTCCCAGCTTGTCCACCCACAAGTCTGAGCACTGGACCTCTCCAACTTCATCTAAGTCACCAATAAATATATGGGTCAGATCAGGGCCAAGAAAAGAGCCCTCGGGTGTGTCACTCCAGATCACCCACCAGGGCACCCTAATATGCTACACCCTTAAGATTATATAGCCCTGGCCAGGTGGCTTGGTTGGAGCATCTTCCCGTACACCAAAAGATTGTGGGTTCAATCCTCAGTCAGCGCACATACCTAGGTTTTAGGTTTAACCCCATTCGGGGAACCTGTGAGAAGCAACTAGTCAATCTTTCTCACATTGATATTTGACTGTCCCCATTCCTTTCTCTAGAAGCAATAAACATATACTTGGGTGAAGAGAGAGGGAGACAGAGAGACATATAATTAAGTCCTGAGCCTCCCAACCAGCCTTGGCTGGGTCCTCCCAAGTTTCCCACACATAGATTGGGAGTGATGACCTTAGATGCCTGAGGCAGGTGAAGTCACAGACACAGTGATATGTGGGTTTGCCCTTGTGTGTCCAGCATCCAGCACAGTGCCTGGTACTCAGTGGGTGCCTAGCAGAGGCTTGTTGACTAGAGGAATGGGTGACTTGTTATTAGGAAACCCATTTTGGCCTCTTCTGATTACTTCCTTCCCTTGTCCCCAACAGCACATTTCCCAGTCTGTCCCTGCCCTCAGCCCTTTTCTCTTCATATGTATCTATTCACTAACGTGATCTTGATTAGTACCCATAAGGACAAATAACTCCCAGTTTATATTCAACCCATGGCTTTCTCCTGGTCTGCAAGTCTTCATCCCGCCACTGGCCCCCAACTGCCTACTCCTTCCACCCCTTCATCCCTCCAATAGATCTATTGAATTCCTCTCACAGTGCATTCAGGGAAAACAATCAGAAAGAGTCCCTGCCTGAATGGAGCTTTCATTCTGCTAGCAAACATACATCAAATGCATAATTACACAAAAACACTTGTCAGAAGAGCGATAAAGCAGAAACACTACTTTATTTTATAAGAGAAACCCAGTGGGACCTGATCTGGCCTGGGGTGTCAGGGAATGCTTCTGAAGGAAGTGACTTTTAAACCAAGATCTGCTTCATCACAGAAGCCAAGGAACAAATGTATTTCAAGAAGGGTGGAGGTGAACTTCAAATGCTGCTGATTTAACTCAAAAAAGACCCTTGGGATGGTTTGGGCATAAGCAGACTGGATTGGGTGGAGGAGTGAGTGAAAGGCAAGGAAGTAAATGTAGCAAGTGTAGATAACTTGAGAAGCTTGGCTGGGAAGGGGAGGGAAGATGTAAGGATAGTAGCTATGAAGAAGGTAGACCTGCGAGAAAATTTTTTTTAAGGTGGGGTGACTTAAGCATGATAAATGCTGCCAGGAAGGAGCCAACAGAGACATGCGGAAGTAAAAGCGGGAATGTAGGGCTCAACTCATGTATCTTTCCTCCATTTAAGACATATTATTGATCACCTGCCATGTGTCAGGCACTTTGAAAAAGGCTGACAAGGCCCTTGCTTTTTGGGAACTTATTTTTTTTTAAAGATTTTATTTATTTATTTTTAGAGAGGGAAGGGAGGAAGAGAGAGAGAGAGAGAGAGAGAAACATCAATATGCGGTTGCTGGGGGTCATGGCCCGCAACCCAGGCATGTACCCTGACTAGGAATTGAACCTGCAACACTTTGGTTTGCAGCCCATGCTAAATCCACTGAGCTATGCCAGCCAGGGCCTTTTTGGGAGCTTATTAAGGAGGGAGGCAAGAGAGATGTAAACAATAAGGTGACTTCAGCTTTTGGAAGTGAAATAAAGAAATAAAATGGGGTGATGTGATAATGAATGGACGCAACTCAAGAAAAGGTGACATGCCAAGGCCTAGGGGGCTGTGAGAGCAATGTAGGCGTGAAATGGCCTAGGGGAGTTCAGTCACTACGGGAGTGCCAGGGCTCGGTGAGGGAGGTGGGTGTGGGGGAAATGTCAAAAAAGAAGGGGGAGGACATGGGGAGTGTGTTGATAGGTAGGCTAGTTCCAGAGGCCCCTTGGAGGTAATAAGGTCAGAGTGTCAGAGGGTGGGTGACCTTGGGATTAACCTTTATGTCATGCCCAACAGGTCGACTGCGGCCTCCACATCTGGCCCTGAGCGACCCTTGGGTGCTCAGACTCAATATTACCAACCATAAACCCATTTCCATCCCACCAAACCTGCTGCTTCTGACCTGGCAGTCTTGACAGAGGACTCGCCATTCTCCCAGTCACAATGACTAACAGCCTCAGCTGTGGCAGCTTGATCCTCTCTTCCTCTCTGACACAGAGGACTGGGCTGAAACATCTAAAAAAGAATGCAAGGGCTCACACAGCAAGTCCTTCCTGCCCACTGCTTTATATCTTCCCCCCTTTCCTGCCCCTCCTCCAGGAAGTCACCTCCACTTCTACCTCCTCACCTCCCCCGACTCCAGACCCCTCTCCATTTCCCTCCCTGCCCATAGGGAGCTCCTTGTCTAAGGAGAAAATGGATGAGTCTGGAAGAGAGAACTGATAGACCGGGAAAGCTGGTATCCTAGGGTCATCAGGGTGGCCTTGCTTTGGGAGTCAGGAATGAACACACCTTGGATAATGGGCAGGAATGGGGGCTACTCGCTCCTCACTTCTTTGCATCATCTCTCCTAGGGTGGATGCCTTCTGAGCCCTGCCTGCTCCTCCAGGTGTCCTTCCTTTCTTCTCTGCCTTTGCCCCTGATACTCCCCAGAGTGAGCTGCTATCTTTGGGCACACATGGCTTGTTCAGTCCCTCTGTCCCATGAGCCATATTAAGAGGTTGCCAGTTATCCTGAAAGCAACAGGAAACCATACTGGAAACTGGCAGCAGTCAGACTAAGGTGCTGGGGTCTGATGGGTGGTATGAAGGAGGAGGATGGGAAGAAGATATGATCAGAGCCTGGTCACCTGTCTACCTGTGGGCTTGTCTCTGTCAAGCCTCCTGCACTGAATGGCCTGAGAGACAAGGGACTTTGTCCCCAGGCAGTCTAGGTAAGGATAAGCTGGGAGGAGGCTGTGTTCAGGGATCCCCAGGATTTACAACACACCCTCCCAGACGTGGGAGGATGCAGGGCTGGTGACAAATAAATAGGAAGTGATCTTGAGGAAGCAGTTGTTGCATTCACACATGCCCCATAATGCCTGGGATGGCTTTGCTGTCTTACCCTCTGCTGGGGCTATCCCTGCTGACTGTGCTGGTGGCTGCCCTGCTGGTGGCCATCCTGCATTTCTGGCAGGGTGCTCCAGCAGGGACAAAGATCCGTAGGGCACAGAAGCATAGGGAGATAGCGCTGCAGCAGATGGCAGCTCTGGCACAGCGTCTCCGGGAGCAGGTGAGTGAACATCAGTCCCTGAAACTCCCCAGCCTCAATCCCAACAGGTGAGTCCTACCTCAGGACATACTCTTCCCATTGCCTCATCCCCTTCAGAGGACAGGGAGCCCATGGGGAAAGTCCCCCACTCAAGCTCTCCCCACATTAGATCTTTGTGTCTTTGTCAGTTCCTTTCCATCTACATCCTTTGAACACCTTTAGGTCAGGAGCAGTGTGTTTTCTCTGGTCTCCCAGTGACTGGCATATGGCTCAGTAACATGGTGGAATTCACTTGGGCTATTGCTGAAATAAAAGAAACTGATGGAGGAATTGGAGGCAGGTGGCCAGGCTTCTTTCCACCCCTGATCACCTTCCAACCCCACTGAGAAAGGAACCCTGGTCTACATATTCTCCTCCCATCCCCCACCCCATTGGGTTCTGCAACTGTTTGCACCTGACAGATGCAAAGCACAGGGGGTTGCTGGAGATGGGGTCCTCCCATAAAGCTATGTGACTTACAAGAGGACTTTGACAGCATGGATGGGGACATTTCAAGGCATTGAGACAGCAGTTGTGGCTGGGCTGGGGTTTGCAGGTGAAGCGGCTGAGCCACAGGTGTGTCAGCTAAGCCAGCCCAGAGTGGCAGAGAGAAGTGTGGGAAGGAGGGGCATGGAGGCAACCTCACACTGTGCCTTGGGTTCACTGTATGGCCTAGAGGACGTGACAGCCCCTTTCTGGGCCTTGGGATCCTTGACTACTCAAGGAAGGGTGGGCTCATGGTATCTTAGGGTCCCCAACTTTGGTTGATGGTGGTGGTTTCTCCCTGGCAGTCTTGGGAGGGGGTTTGGGTACAGTGTCTGAGGTGCTGTCCCTGTGATCTGGAGCTGCTGAGTGTCCTCTGTATCCCCTAGATGGTGATTGATGGCCCCAGTGGGCAGCTTCTCTGCCTGAGCTGCTGCAGTTCCTGAGAATGTGTATTAATATTAATTGGGGCTAATTAGTTGGATAAATCAATCTGCCCCCAGAGAGCAGCTGCCCCTTCTTTGTTGATGGGGAGGAAATTGGGCTAATGGGGTTGCTGTGGTGAATCTGCATGATGGAGAGGTTTCCTGTGTGTGTGTGGTGGCCCCATCTGTGTGCAGCAGTGGGTTTAGGTTCCTTTACTGCCAACACCAGGGCCTGCCTGTATGTGCCTCCTGCTGGCGAGTTTTGTGTACTGGTTGGGTATACGTCAGGCTGTATACTGCTTGTGTTTAGTTCCGTGCCTGTGGTGTGTGTGCCTCGCTTGGTGTGTATGTGTCATGCTACTGGTTGGAGTGTATACATCTAGATATGTTTGGATCTGAAGGTTTGGCTGAGCACATATGGGGTGGTCATGGGTCTGATGTGTAAGGGCTTCTAGTTCTTTATATGTCTGAGCATCTGGATGGTATCTTTGTGGGTATCTGGAATATGTAACTATTGGGCTGGGTACCTGGTGGTGCTGAGTGTGTCTAATTGGCTGAGGGAGTGGAAAGGGTTTGGGGTGAGGTCACCTATGTGTCTCCAGCCTCCCCTCAAGACTGTGGGCCTCTTGGCTCTCAGCACCTATTCTCTTCTCTATAAAGCTATACAGGTCTGTCCTGGGCACATTCTCAGTCGGATCATCCATCTGCCAGGAATACCCTCAACGCCTCAGGTGCCCAGCTTTATGGCCCAAGGAAGTGGGAGGCTGAGACATATGTCACACCCTTGTAGAGTTCAGACAAATCCAATTCAGTTCAGGTTAGCAAAATTCCACAGAGTGCTCCTGTGGATCTTATCTTCTGCTGAACCTTGCAGAAGGGGGCAGATTCATTATCAAGATGAATCTGACATCTGACTCAGACTTGCCTTAAAGATGTTCTCACTCTGGGAGGGGTGTAGTGGAAACAGAGCTGTGTCAACCACAGTGGGAGACAGCTCCGAGAAATGTGGCTTAGGCCAGATGCCTATGAAGTCGCAAGACTTGGAAGGAGGAGTGATTTGCTTTGTCTGCAGCAAGTCACGTGGGGAAGGCTTCAAAGAGCTGAGCCTTGTAAGATGTATAGTTTTCCAAAAGGAGAAAGAACACGATAGGCAGTACCATACAGAGAAAAGCCTAAGATAAGGCAGTGTTTCTGTAGAACATGTATAAAAAAATTTTATCCCCACCAGAGGACACTTTTTCTTTGCTCTTAGAGAGAGGGGAAGGGAGAGAGAGAGAGAGACTGATGTGAGAAACATTATCTACTCATCACCCTCTTGTAGGTTCTCTGACCAGGGATCAAACCCTCATCCTGGGTATGTGCCTGAGCAGAAATGGAACCCATGATCTTTTGGTCCACCAGGTGACATTCCAACCAACTGAGCCACAGCCAGGGCATAGAACATATTTGTAGGATCCACTGGGGTAAACAAAAGTTGCTTGTGTCTGAAGGTTTCTTACCAGGAGGCTCAGGAGGAAATTGGTTGCCCTGAGGGTTGAGGATTTCTATGACATTAAGCAAGTATATTCGCCTCTTTGGAAATTTAATAATAAATTGGTATACTAAAAACTTTAAAATATATTTTCTTTGATTTTCAAACCATAATGGAAGACAGCACCAGGTGAATATGGAGAAGGCCAGATGTCCATGGGGCTGTGGGACTTGGCAGAAGGGTGTGATTTGTTTTAAACTAAACTATATATTAAAACAATATAAAAGTGATATAAGTTGAGGCTCGATTGTTTCTTCAAATGAGTCTAACTATTTCCAAATAATTTGTTGATTTTTTTTAGAAAACTTGTAGGAATCTTTTGATGTGGCTATCATCTTTTAGGATGTCCCTCTCTTTCAAAGCTCTCTCAGTAAACTGAGAGTCATTAGGTGACTTGCATGTCTCCATTTTGTTTAGGTTTTTTTTTTTTTCCTGGAATTTTGTCCTGTTCTTTCATTTGGGACATATTTCTTTGTCTCCTCATTTCAGCTGCCTCCTTCTGTTTGTTTCTATGTATTAGGTAGAGCTGCTATGCCTCCCAGTCTTAGGAGAGTGGTCTTATGTAGTGGGCTCCCCTGGTCACCTAAGCTGGGAACTCCAGGGACCCCTCTCTGTGGGCTGCATGCACTCCCCTGTTGTAGTTGAGCCTAGTTTGCTGTTGGTACATCAATGTGAGAGATTTAGCCCCAGGCCAGTTGGCCTCACCTACAGCAGAGGAGCTGCTGTGCAGGGACCCTGACCATGGAGCAGGACTTACTTCAGCGAGGCTCTAATGCCTGATGGGTCTGCCCCTTGAGTAAACACTGGTGGAAGTGGTTGGGTGGTACTTCAGAGTGATCTGAAGCTGTTCAACAGGTGAGCTGGCTCTGGGGCCTCCTGGGAGGTGCAAACCAAGATCAGCTGCCCCCTGTGCCCTATCCAGGGCTACCCAGCATGAGCAACAGAGCAATCTGCAAGTGGCTGCTACTCATGCTGGTTTTGGAGGTGTCCAGGACAGGCTAAGCTGTGAACTGAGGCCAGCTGCCACTAGTACCAGTCCTGAGGCCACTTAGTAAGGGATAACAGATACTTGGGTACTCAGAGGCCAGATGCTGCTTGTTTGGGGTTTGTGAACCTTTGAGGGATTTTAGGAAAGTTCACAGCATGAGCAAAGACAGGCCATTTGTATAAAAAAAGCCACTTAAGATGGCTTGGGTGGGCCTGCAAGTTGGGTTGGGTGGGGGCTCAGGGAATCCCCAGGGCCAAGCAACTTGTTTAGCTAGGTTGATGGAGACTCAGATATGGTACCTGCTTGCCAGCTCTGTGAAGGGAGGGTTCAGCAAAGGAATAATGGCCTGTGCCAGACTTCTGTCTGAGAGAAAGCTGTCCCTCCAGCCCCTGCCCCAAAGCCAGACAATTCAGTTTCTCCCTGTGTGTCAGTCTGGGGAGTTTTGAGCCAAGACTTTAAAACAGCAAAACAGCACAGTGAGTAGAGGGATTGAGCAGTGTGGCTAGAGCAGCAGTATATGGGAGAGGGGCAGAGAAAGAGGAGGCTGGTGAGATGGGCCCTCAGGGAGCCAGGCAGGCAAAGGGCTTAGTGTAGGGGCTGGCACCCAGTAAGTGCTTCATCAGAAAAGCTTCCTTGCCCAAGAGCCATTACAGGGTAATGGTGAAGGTGTAGATGAACTGATTTTAAGTCCAGGCTCCCCTACCTTTATGACCTTGTACAAGAGAATTAACCTCTCTGCGTGTCAGTTGCTTTCACTGGTGAAATGGAAATGATAATAAGAATACCTATCCAAGGGTTTTTGTGAGAATTTAACGAATTGGTACAAAGTATTGACATGCATTGGTTTATCTAAAGATGCATACATGTTATATGCTTATATTGAAAGCCTTATAAACCATACTGAGGAGAATGGTGTTGCAACTTTATTCTCAAGGCACCTGGGACATATGGTTAGGTTTGCATTACATAAGATCTTAAAAGGATCACCTAGGTTGAAGTGAAGAGGTTGAGCTGGAGGGGAAGAGACTAGAGGCAGGGAGTCCAGTGAGGAGGCTGTTGAAAACACTGAGAAACAGAGAAGTTTCTAGGCAGTAAAGAGGCTGGGAAGTCAAAGGTAGAGGATACGAAGGAGGCAAAACCACCATCAGCATATGTATGGCTGAGAGGGGTCACTGGGGTCCTACTGCCTGGTGTGGATCTAGGCTCTGGCACTTACTAGCTGTGTGTCCTTGGGAAAACAGCTCTCTCTCTCTGTACCTCAGAATCCCGAAGGGTACTGAGGAGGGCTAAAGGAGGATAACCTCACCTTCCTGAGTGTGTTCTGTGTGCTAGGCCCTTGTCATGTCATGCTTGCCCCTGACAGGAGTCCTGAGGGGCTTTGCCTCTTTTCTTGAAGGACCTGGCTCAGAGCAGCTGGCGGGCCTATCTGTGGTCACCCTCCATGGCTGACTAATGATTGGCTTCTAGTCCTTTCCTCTCTGCGCACACTTAGGCCATGGCAGGGGAAGGCACCTGCCCTGGGTTACCCAGTTAACCCATGGCATGGTCTCCTGCCACCCATGCTAGACTCTTGTCCTTTTCTTGACCTTTTCAAGGTCAGATAAACAGAGATGTGGGGGACTGGATAAGAAGGAAATCTGGGGTGCCATTTGCCCCTAAAGGCAAACTACACAGAATTGAGCCTTATTTCCATAGCACCTGAATCCCAAGATATGGATATAAAATCAGTCCCACTCCAAATGTGCCCCTTCTGAATACCAATACTAGGGGGCAGGCTCTCCTCTGTACCAGGCTCTGGGATGGGCATTGGAGAGACAGACAGAAGGGAATATCTGTTCCCTGTAGGGCTTTCATGCCAACCTGGAGACAGACCAAGAAATGTTTTTAATGCTAAGGGTGAGCACAGGGATGGATATGTACCGAACATATGGGTGTGTGCGCAAATGTGTATACAATGCAATGTGTGGGGTGTGATGTTGAATGTGTGGGAATGGGCCTGAATGGATCAGTCTTTGATATCTGCCTGTCCCACCCCATCTCTGCAGGAACCAGGCCTGGACCCCAAGCCCATCCTGGAGCTGCCCCTGGTGAAGCTGGCCCAGAAATTGCAGGCGGAAGAGCTGAGTCTGGAGAGCGTCCTCTGTAGCTATTTAGAGGAGGTGGGGGTCAGGGGTCAGGGGTCAGGACTCAAACCTGACTCTGGGCTGGAGTGGGGTATGCCACCTGTCGTTGTTCTACTTAAAGGAGTTGGGGGGGTGCAGATGTAACTCTGGTGTTGTGGGTAGCTGGGAAGGGTGCTCATGCCACGATCACCTGTCACTTCCATTCTGCTCTGAGGCAGGGTTGGGGGAGAGGCTTGGGTAACTGAATGTCCTGTTCCTGACCCCACCTTTATCTGGTTTCTCTCAATGTTGTTCAGGCACTGAAGGTGCACCAGGAGGTGAACTGCCTGACAGATTTCCTGGGGGAATGTGAGAAGGAACTGCAGGCATTGAAGAAGCTCAAGAAGAGTGAGAGAGGGCTTCTCTATGGGGTCCCCATCAGCCTCAAGGACCCCTATGACTGCCTGGTGAGCCCTGGGGTACATACACACAGGTGTACATGTGTGTGTAGGTGCACACATGCCACTGAGCCTGTGAGCATCTGAGTGTGTGACGTAGGGCAAGTCACATAATTCAGGATGGATAGCTAGACAGTGGCCAACTGGTACTGAACCCAGCATTTCGTTTCAAACCCAAACCAAAACTCTCAACCACCACGATCTTCTGCTGTGAATCCCCCTAAGCTATGAATGTGTCTCAGAGGGTGTGGGAATGGATGTGAGTGGGGATGGGGTGGGGGTAGGCATCTGTTCACTAGGTGATTCTACATGACCCCCATGGAATGGAGTTAATGTCACTTCTGTGCAGGGCCATGATTCTACGTGCGGCTTGGCCCAGTTCCTGGAGAAGCCAGCAGCTGAGGACGGGGTCATTGTGAAAGTGCTGAAGGCCCAGGGAGCTATTCCCTTCGTTAAGACCAACATCCCCCAGACACTGCTCAGGTCTTTGAAGTGGGCAGGCTGGGAGTGGGGCTGGGGCCAAGGATGGGGCCAAGGATGGGCCCAGGACTGAAACAGAAACTTAAAGTCCTGGTTCAGAGCAGAGGGTGAGGTGGAAGACAGTCACGCAGGCCTCAAGGTCTGAGGTTCCTGGACAAATCTTTGTTCCCTTTAAGTCTCAGTTTCCTCCTCATGTGTGTGTTCCATGGTTTCTAAGGGCCCTCACTCTCAGAGTTATTGAAAAGCTATAGGTGTGTTGCTCTTCCAGCTTCTCTTTCTAATTGTTCTTCTCACCCACCATTCTCTCTCCTCCCCACTCAGCCTCGAGTATATCCTTTTTTGTGAGAAAGCTGCTCTTGGTTCTGACAGCAGAGCTGTGGGCTCCTTGCTCCTTATTTTAGGTGTGATTAGTGTCTGCTCTGGGTCTTTCCTGCAGCAGTGGCTTCTCACCTCAGCCAAAAGGGAAGCTAGGAAGTCTTGGTCCCAGGGAGGGGTTTATGAGTTGAAGCAGCCCTGGGCTGACTCCTGAGGGTGGTTGGCCTCTATGTGGGGAAGGGGCAATCTTCCCCAGTTAAACCTTCATCTTCCAACCCCCTTTCTCCTGCTTCTCTAGCTTTGAATGCAGCAACCCCATCTATGGACAGACTCTGAACCCTTTGAACTTGAAGAAGAGTCCTGGAGGGTCCTCAGGGGGTGAAGGAGCTCTTCTGGCAGCAAGGGGTTCCATCCTGGGCATGGGCAGTGACACAGGTGGCAGCATCCGCATACCAGCCAGCTTTTGTGGTGTCTATGGCCTCCGAACTACAGGAAACCGCCTCAGGTACTCAGTGGTGGTGTTGGAGGAGGGTAGGCTCAGCCCAGTCTAGAGGAACTAGGGATCTGGGGGAGCAGAGGGGCCAGTTCCACACATGAACTTCCACTCACTCAGCTTAGTACTAGGGGAAGAACGTGAAGACAGGAGAGTTTCAAATAACTCCTGCCTCAGCCACAGCTAAGCATATACTGTTTGATACAGGTGGCCGTGGAATAGACCTTCCACTTATTCATTAACTCATTAGTTTATCAACTCACTCTTTAGTACATTTATCCATGTACCTATCCTTTCTCTTATTCATTCATCGACCCATCCATTTATCCATTTATCCATCCTTCATCCATTTATCCACCCATGCAGTCATCATCCTGGTCTGTATCCATCAATTTCACCATTCATTTACCATTTAATTTGTTTGACAAATATTGAGTGTTTGCTCTGTGCCAAATACTGTATATTAGGTACTTGAAATACATCAATAAACAAAAGGAACAAATATCCAAGCCTTTGAAAAATGTACATGTATGCTTCCTTCCATTCTTTTATTCATTCATTTATCCATTTATCTTGTCCATTCATCCAGTCATCTACCCATCCATAAGTCCATATTTGCCTTCATTCACTCATTTACCCATCTATCCATTCATATTTCCAATAACCTTTCCATCTATCCTGAATTCCTCCATGCATCTAATTACCCATCCACTCATTTTGCAACCCCACTCTGAGTGCCTACTTTGTGGAGACGCTGTGCTGGGGACACAAAGCACTCTCAGACCCAGTCCCTGCCCTTGTTAGACATACGAATGGCTGAGTCAGAAAGTGATCAGGGCTATAAGAGAGGGTCAAAGCTTGTGAGAACTCATAGGATGAAACCAACATTTTCTTCTTATTAAAAGCCTAGACTTTGAACTTTTGGAGGGAGGGCAAGGAAAGGGAAGGCTTTCTGGAGGAGGCAGCATTTGAGCTTGGTTTTGAAGGATGGACATGCATCGATGGTATGGAATCTAGAAGGCTGTAACTATAAGCAACTTGCTCTTCTTGGAGCAATATATATTCACAGGAGAGCTAGAAGAGAAAACTATGGAAGTTGATACATTAGAGCCTTAAAAGGCAGTCAAAGAGATAAGATGTTATGCTATGGGTAATAGCAAATTATGTGAAGGTTGAAGCAACTCCTATTCTTGTGTGCTGAGCTCTAGGGGAGTACATTGGCTGGATGCTCAGACTCCTTGGCACTCAGGCTCTTCCCTTCAAGTGCTGAGCTGGACTCTGGGTGGGTGGGGTTTTGCAGCTACTCTGGAGTTTCCTCTGCTGTGAAGGGCAAGAAATCAGGTAAGCTCCTGTGGCCATACCTGTTCAAACACAAACCTGCCACCCTTTCTCCCAAGGACTTTTCACTCCACCCCTATCTCAAACATATCAGACCCACTGGTGATAAAGGTATCTGGGAGAAGGGACTTTTTGGCTTCCACCTGGCCTCCTGTAGTCTAATGACCCTTGCCCCACTGAGAAGTGCTTCCTGTTATCTAGTTTTAATCTTTCCTACTGGTCTCTTGATGTTCTGCCCCAAATGAGATTCTCCCTACAGGTACCAGAGCTGCTTTGGTGAGTTTACCAACTCCACCTGCCCTCAACCTCTGATCCAGAATGACCCCAGGAACTCTTCCTTTGGCCCTGATCATGGGCCTGGGCCGTGGCCCCACTGTCTTAGGCCAGGTGGTGGGAGTCCCCAGAACAGAATAACGAAAGGTGTCTGCCTCCCTCCCCTCTGCTCTGCACAGTGAGCACCGTGGCTGGCCCCATGGCCCGGGACGTGGACAGCTTGGTGTTGAGCATGCGAGCCCTGCTGAGCAAGGACATGCACCAGCTGGACCCCACTGTGCCTTTCATGCCCTTCAGGGAGGAGGTGAGCTGGGTGAAAGGGCAGACCTGGAGGGCTCCCGCCTTTCTCCAGCCCTCATTCCTCACTGACCTGTCTGCCATCAGACCAGTCCCTCTGAATACTTCCTTTCCTAGCCCAAGGTGTAGTGAGCAAGACGCTCACATGCTCAGTCCTGTTCAACTCCCCACACACATCCTGGTGTAATCAATCTGTGAACATTTCCTGTCATTCATTCTTTGCCTCTATTGATCTCTCCACCTTCAACCTCTCCCAACAGTTCTTTAGCTTAAAAATATTTGTGTCTATTCATGTACTTACTTACCTGCCCATCCATTCAACTCCAACTATCCATTTATCCACCGATTCCTCTATCCATTCAACTCTCTGCCCACCCACCCACTCACTTTCTTATACATCCACCCACTCACTCATGTATGACTCTATCTACCTATTGGCTCCATCCACCCAATCACTCACATCCTCATCCATTTATTGTTCTTCCAGGGGCTTCTCCAGAGCACCTAGAGCCTGAAAAGTATATAGGGAGGCTCTGAGGGGCTCTTGGGAATCCCCCTGGGTGAGACCAGCTATGGCCCAAGGCCCTAGTCCACAAGTCTGGCTCCTGGAGAGAGTGAGATCACCTTGTCCCCAGACCAATCTTCCCTCAGAACCCCATTCAGTCCCTCTTGCCCACAGGTATACTCCAGTAACCAGTCACTTCGGATTGGCTACTATGAATCAGATGGATACACTGAACCATCTCCTAGCATGGCCAGGGCCGTGAGGCTCACCTGCAGGCTGCTCCAGGATGCAGGACATGAGGTAGGCTTACTTAGCCTTGGGGAAAAGGGGTGTGGGGAGGAGGCTGGACTGGTGAGGATGCTGGCCTGGACCATTCTTGGAGAGAAAGAAAATTATATTTGAGTTTGGGCTGCTGAGATCATTGTGTTTCCCCTAAGCTTCCCAGAGAAGATGGATGGGGTAGATGTAGGGGTGGTGAGTGGGAGTAGAGCCCACCCTATGAAAAAGACATCAAGATTTTGTGCCTTCTCCCTTCAGTGGTGGGGACTCAGGGACTCACTTCTAAAACTCCTAGAGCCTCAGTTTCTGTTGACCTCCATCTAATGGTTGTAAAGATCTTCCTGTCTTCAAAGTCCTCTTCCCCCTCCGCCCTTGCTTCTTATGCCTCTGTGGGTTCCTCCCTTGCTACTTATGCCCCTCCAAAGTCCTCCTCCCCCTCCTCCCTTGCTTCTTATGCTCCTGGCCCTGCTTCCCCTTTGAGAACTGTTGGTTGGCCACACACGTACTGTGTGATCTTGGGCTCCTCTCTTAACCTCCTGAGCCTCAGTTTTCTATCACAAGGGGCAGCTGCAAAGATTAAATGAGCTCACATATGTAAAGTACATGGTATGGGGTTGGACTGCAGTACAGCAGGCAGGAAATAAGGACTGCTTGAATTCCCATTATATTTCTGTAAGAGAGTGGGTATGACACCCACCCAAAAGCCTCCCATGCCCTGCTGCAGAGCTGAGATAGGAGACAAGGAGAGCTATGGTATCCTTTCCTTAAATCCTGAGGGATGTGGACAGAATGCAGGGCAGAGTGGGAAAAGCTCCAGGCCCTGACTCAGCCTCTGTCTCCACAGGTCATCCCCTTCTCTATCCCCCGGATAGAGTATGCGATACAACATCTGTACAAAGCGGGTCTGTTTGCTGATGGAGGGGCCACTCTCCTCCAGAAGCTGTACGTTTGTTAGGACTCAGATGAGGGGCATGGTGGAAATCAGGTGTGGGAGGGGACCTATGGGCCTGGGCTGGGGAGATGCCAATGGTTAATTGTGTGACCTTAAGCAGGAAGTCATCTATTCAGGCCTCGTATTCAGGATGCACATGCTCTAGGAGGGGGTGGTGGTGGGAACATAAGCGTTTCTTTGGGTCTGACCTCCCTCCATAGGTTATCTACGGAGGGGGAGACGGGTGGGTGTGGGAGCCAGCTGGTGACTGAGAAGCTATAACTGACCAGGAATTTGTCTGTGGTTCCTCAGTGAGGGGGACATTGTGGACCCCTGCATGAAGAAGGTGGTTAGCATACTCCACCTGCCAAACCCAGTGAAGAGAATCTTGGCATGGATGCTGAAGAACACAGTGAGTGTGTGCCCAGGATAAGGAGGGATTCAGAGGAGGTGAGGCCTGGAGGGGAAGGAGGTCAGAAAGGGGAAGGGGACTGACTCAAGAGTGGGATAGGGTCAGAGAGGAGCATGAGACCCAGAGAATATTGGTGGCTCAGAGCAGGGTTCAAGAGGAAAAGGAGCTGAAAGAGGGGAAGGGAGGCCAGAACAGAGGAGTGTTCTTGGAGAGGGGAAGGGGCTTCAGAGAGGGTCTGAGAGGGGGAGGGCACCTCAGAGAAGAGAAGGGATTTCAGAGAGAAGGAAGGGGATTGGTAGAAGGACGAGGGCCCAGAGGAGGCGAGGCTCAGGGCTGGGCAAGGTGGTGGTGGTGACTTGTGGAGGACTGGAGGTCTCCATGTCAGTGTCCTGAGCAGAGTTGCTCTTGCTGGACCCTCCATCCAGGGCAGGTTGGCATTGCCCTGTGGTTTCTGAAGTTGGTGTTCCCCTCTCTCCCTACCTCTAGGAACCCCGAACTGCCCAGACAGTGGAAACATTTCTTGGAGTGGGGTAAGTTGAGTCTCCTCAGGTTCAACTCACAAGGATTTTCCATGGAGTCGTGATAACTGAGTGAGGGGCATGTGGTTAGAGTTGGCATTCACTGGAGGCAAGGGCTATTTAGACTTTGGGGTCTAATTAAGGCTTTGGGTTCATGTCCGACACTGGGTTAAATTTGGACTTTTGAGTGAGGTTGGGATTAGGGCTGATTTGGGGCTGGGGTTTGATTTGCAGTTAAGCTCTGAGTTCAAGCTAGAATTTGTTTAAGTTATGGTGAAGGTTGGGCCTGAGTTGAGTTTAGGTTTGGGCTAGGGTGGAAGTTGGTTTGAGTTGGGGTTGGGGCTAGGTTTGGAACTGGGGTGGGGATATGGATGGAAGAGGATTCTGACTTGTGCTTGGGTTTGCTGTTGAGCTTGGCCTGGTGGGGCTTGGAGTTGAGGTGCTAGAGTAGCCTGAGAGCTGACGTGAGGCCTCTCAGGGGAAGGAAGAAACCTGTAGTTTTGGGGGAGTTTGTGAGTCCTTGGTGGCTGGTGATGGTGGTGGAGTGTTGACCAGAAGATGTGTACTCTTGGGAATACTGGACAGGCAAAGTGTCTTAGCCAGGGGACAAGACACAAGGTCCTTCCCAGCCCATCAACTGATTTGCAGTCTGCACTGGGGCCCAGCACCTGCCTTTTGGGCAATATGTCCCGTTTGTACAAAAGAGGGTCCTCCTATGCTGACTTTTGGACTTCTGAGTCTTCCTTATTCCCCCAGGACACCCAAGAAACTGTGGGAGCAGCACACGGAAGTGAAGGTGATATGTGCCTGGCAAGACCTCGAAGGACTGTTGGAGCAGGGACAGCAGAGATCTGGGTGGTGATAGGAGTGGCCAGATAGGGGGCAGAGCTCTGTCCTGGCCTGCAAGGGAGGCCAGGATGGACCTGGATGGGAATGCTTAGTGACCTAGAAGGTTAATCTAGTCCATCTCTTTGGGGCCAGGATGATATGTTATCCCCAAATCACTGCAGCCTGAGACTTCCTTTCCCATCCCTTTACCTTGGCCCCTGGTGAGACCCTGACCCTCCCCAGATATCTCAGTCTGTATCTGATGGTTCGGGAATTCTTCCTGGTGCCTAACCCAGCTGAGCCTGGCAGCACCTTACCTTGTCCTGCAAACAGTGACCTCTGCTGGTCTTACCTCTCCTGCTTCTATTGTGTCTGCAGGAATATCAGCAAGAGTTCATAGCCAAGTGGAAGTCCTTGGACTTGGATGTGCTGCTGGCACCATCTCTGGACCCTGCCTTCTATATAGGCTATGGCTCCAAAGCATCAGGTGAGAGGGCACTGGGTCTTGGTGGGGTTGAGACTGGGAGTCCAGGACTTCTGAGTCCTGCCACAGCCTCTATGACCTTGACCTCTTTTCATTAACTTAAAAGTTTATTTTTCTTAAATCAAGATAAAATTCAGAAAACATAAATTCTAAAGTATAAATTTTAAAGTATACAATTTAATAGTTTTTAGTATATTCAGAATGTCATGCAACCACCACCATTATCTAATTCCAGAACATTTCCATCATCCTGAAAAGGAATATCGTACCTGATAGTAGACACTCTCAATTTCCATTTGCTTTTAAAATGAACTTCATTCAAATACAAAGTCTCCTAACTTAAGATGGGGTCATGTGCCAATGAACTTATTATAAGTTGAAAATATCTAAGCTTAAAGTGCATTTAACCTAGTGAACATCATAGCTTAGTCTAGCCAGTTTCTGCTGAATGTACGTCACTTTTGCACTCATAAAGTCAAAAAACTGTAAGTCGGGGACCATCTGTATAATCTACATACAATAAAATCCACAGAGAGTGCAATATGATTTTAACAAATGTGTGTAGTTGCATAAACACCACCATAATAAAAATATAGAATATTTTCATCACTAGCCAAATTTTTCTCATATCCCTTTGCAATTTATCCTAACCTTACCCCCTACAACCACTAATCTGCTTTCTCTCACTATAGTTGTACCTTTTCTAGGGTATCATAAATAGAATCATAAAATATGAGGCTTCTGTGTCTGGCTTCTTTCACTATGCATATGATTTCACTCTTAACATGCTTTCTGCTGCCCCACTTCTAGAAATGTCTTTAGCCCACCTGAAATGCATAGGGCAGTGTGTGAGGCATCGCTGACTCTCATGCCCAGAACAGGTGCAAGTCTGAGATGATATCAATGCAGAGGAAAATCCACCTGAAGGCTAGAGTCCTCTCCCCTGGGTCCCCCCATAGTAGTTGCCCAAAGACACATCCCATCTGACTCTGCTCTCTGATATCCTCTGTCATCATCACTGCTACTTCTGTGATGCTCACTCCTTGCACACAGGTGGGTGTTGCAATGGAGATGCCTTTTCAACTCAGGGTTGCACTGCACACCCCAGCCATGCTGGAGCCCAGTGTCCTGGAGGGGCAGGGGCTGAAGCCTCAGCTACTCACTAGCTGTGGAGCCTGTGAAAAGCCTCCTAACCTGTCTGGCACCTGGCTTTCTTCATTTATACACAGGAAAGAGTAATTCCCACCTCACAGGGGTGGAGAGGATTCAGAGAAGCAGCAACATAGTGAGGCCAGCACAATACCTGGCACTGAGTAAGGCTTGAACCGTGAAGGTTCTCCTTCCCTCCCGGCAGTTGTCAGAAGATTTCTATTACTGAACTGGCTACCCCGAGCACACACAGGGATGCAGTTCCGAGAAGGACTCCAAGGGGGCGCTTACTCACTTTTTTTCCCCCACCTGAGACTTTCGGAGGTGATTTTCGGGGCTAACTTGAATCTTCCTACAGAGAGCATCTCTTACACCACCCTGTACAACGTGCTGGACTTCCCTGTTGGTGTGGTGCCTGTCACCACCGTGACACTGCAGGACCAGGAGGAACTGGCCTTCTACAAGGGATACTACAGAGATAGTAGTGACAGATATTTCCCGGAGGTCAGTTTCCCTTTTCTTACCTCCACCCTCTGCTTTGCCCTGAGGGCAGGGACCAGGATTGAATCCTGCCTCAAATCCAGTGGGCCCGTAGGGCAAGGTGGGATGGGGCTGGGCATTCCCAGAGTTTACCCTTATCACTTCTGCTACAGTGTCACCCCCGTCCCAGAGGACACACCATCTAACTTCCAAGTCAGCTATTGTCCTTGTCAGGGGAAAATACTTTACAAAAACAGTGGTCCTTCTGACATCTCTGTAATGAAGGTCCATTCCAGAGGCAGGCAGAGAGGATCAGGGCAAAGGCCCCCACTTAAGAGCTTACTGTGTAATGATGGGACACTACCCTTCTCTTGGCCTCAATTTCTTTGTTAGAAAAAAATGGGAATTAAAAAAAAATCTGCTTTGTAGGGTTATGTTAAAGGTTAAATAAAAAAGATGGAAGCAACTAGCATAAGGTCTTATATGTAGGAAGTGTTCAATAAATGCAATTACTAAGTCAGAGGTGGCTTAACAAAAGGAAATATTTCTACGGGCCCATTTAATGCAGGATCTGTGCCCTGGCTGGTGAGGCTCATTGGATTGAGTGCCAGCATACAAACCAAAGGATCGCTGGTTCAATTTCCAGTCAGGGAGCATGCCTGTGTCTAGGGCCAGGTCCCCAGCTGGCAGAGCACGAGAGACAACCATGCAGTGATGTTTCTCTCCCTCTCTTTCTCTCTCCCTTCCCCTTTCTCTAAAATAAATAAATAAATCTTTAATGTAGGGTCTAAAATAACAACCCTAACTTGGGTGAGAGAGAGAAAGAGAGAGGGAGAGACTGACTCTGAAAAGTATGCATATGTCTACGAATAAGGAACTTATTTTTCTGGAAATTGATTTTAGTAACTCTAGAAGAGTTACCCTGTGGATCTGCTGACCTAAATTCTGAGAAAATAGTAGTAATGATACTGTCTCATATCTCTTGAGCTCTTACTCTGTTCCAGGAGCTGTTTAAAAGTGATGTGTGTGTGTGTGTGTGTGTGTGTGTGTGTGTGTGTATGAATGATATATATATATATTCTCATAACTATCCTGCGAGGTTTTGCACATGAGGAAATGGAGACACAGGTTAAGGGACTTGACCAAAGCCACACAGCGAGTTGAAGTGGCAGAGCTAGGACTTGAAACCACATGACCTGGCTCCAGAGACAAAGGCAGATAAAGACTTTCATGATGTCATCATAAAGAGTGATTTCCAGCCTTTTTCATCTCATGGCACACATAAACTAATTGCTAAAATTTGGTGGAGCATCAATAATTATATTTTTTGCTGATTTGACAAAAATAGGTATAATTTTGATTGATTCACAAAATAAAATAATAGTAAACAACTACCCTTTTTGCTCCAAAGTGACTTTTTTAAAAATCAGGTGCCTATACTTGTATATAAGGATTTCTGATACTAAGAATTAACCAATCAAACACAACCTTATTATGTGACGGGACCACTAAGATGTAACTTTACTATATGACCTATATATTTTATGGTTCAAGACAGGGCATTCACACCAGACAACTATCGCTGTGTTGACTGTTGTCATTTTTTGACAGTCTAAGGGAAAGAGAGGTCAGTGTCCCTGACTAAATAGTCAGGTATTGCATGTTTTAAAAATTATTGTGGCACATCAGGTGAACATCGCTGTTATAAATAATGAAAGCATGTTTGAATTCCTACAAGTATGTTTGGATTTCATGGCAGGCACTGAGACTCAGCCCCCTCTTTCACTGCGGAAGTGTAACCAGGTTCCGGATCTGGAATTTGCACATTCTTTTTTCCTTTGCTAAGAACATTGGGTGAATACTCGGTTTTATTTTCTTGTTGTAGGCTGCTCTTTGCACAAGGAGGGAGTTTTACCCTGGAAAATTGTAGACAAAGTCAGAACAGTTTTTCCAGGTTTAACCAAGAGCTGAGGAAGCCTGGAACTCTGAGATCCAGGAAATCTCTATTCTAATATTGATTGGAGATGAGATATTTGAATTAATGCATACCTACGGGTGGTGAGGAAGGCTGGGCAAGGGACTTGTGACCAGGAAGCAGGCTCTGATTTACAGACACTCTCTCCGGGCAGGCGATAAAAGGATCCCTGGGACTTCCAGTGGCTGTGCAGTGCATCGCTTTGCCATGGGAAGAAGAGCTGTGTCTTCGGTTCATGAAGGAGGTCGAGACCATGGCCAAGAACCAGAGGGAACCCAAATGACGGGCTACTTCTTCTCCTGGAGATCTTCCTACATCTTCATCCACGTCTGCTCCTGATGCCCTTTCAGCTTCTCATAAATACCACATCCATATCATCTCTCCTCCTCCTGGAAGCTCATGTATTTATTCATTTAGTAGTCTCCCTGTCCTTGTAGGTGCTTAATCCATGGAATCAGATCCACCTAAGATGGGTGTCAGGGTGAAGAGCTCAATAAACATTTTGACTGGCTGGTCTTGTGGTCTCTGATCTAGGTGGCGATGTATCTTCCTGGTGGCTTTTGCCTCCAGCTGTTCTCCAGCTCAGTCCCCCAGATGCCATCCCAGTTGGCAGCAGATGGGAATAAGCCCTAAAGTGAGAGGCTAGAGACCTGGGTCTAAGTCTTCACTTTGCCATTGGCTTGCTGTGCAATGCTGGGCAAATCACTTTCCCCCTCTGGATCTCTGTTTTCTCATCTACAAATTGAGGGAATTAGATGTGATGACTTGACTATTCTGTGCGCTGTGATTCCCAGGTATTTCTCTGATTAAGAATTTGCCATAAAGAAGGGGCTGGACAGAAGTATTCAAAGGAACAAAAGGCAAGGACCTACATCCAAGATTACTCTATCCAGCAAAGCTATCATTTAGAATGGAAGGGCAGATAAAGTGCTTCCCAGACAAGGTCAAGTTAAAGGACTTCATTGTTACCAAGCCCTCATTATATGAAGTGTTAAAGGGACTTATCTAAGAAAAAGAAGATGATCAAAAATAGGAACAGTAAAATGACAACAAACTCCCAACTATCAACAAATGAACCTAAAACAAAAACAAAACAAACTAAGCAAACAACTAGAACAGGAACAGAATCACAGAAATGGAGATCACATGGAAGGTTATTAGTGGGGAGGGGGAGAAGGGAGAATGGGGGAAAAGGTACAGAGAATAAGTATCATAAATTGGTAGGTAGAAAATGGACAGGGGGAGGTTAAGAATAGTATGGGAAATGGAGAAGCCAAAGAACCTATATGTATGACCCATAGACATGAACTAAGCAATGGGGGGAACACTGGTGGGAGGGGGTGCAAGGCAGAGGGGAATAAAAGGGAGAAAAAAATGGGACAACTGTAATAGCATAATCAATAATATATATTTTCTGAAAAGAAAAAAAAATAAAAAGAACTTTCCATAGCTCCCATTACTGTCTAGAGAAAGTTCCAGAGAGCAAGACCAATGGAGTGAAGCCTCGTCAGACCAGACCTTGGATTGGGACTAGGCCTCAGCTCACAGTCCAGTGCTTTGCAGACAAAGTGCTAATTTCTTGGCCTGATACTCAGCACATCCCAAGATCCTCTAGTGTCCTCTGCATTGGCTCTGCTATAGCACAACCTCCCTCACTCCCTCAAACTGGACCCTTCTTGCGAGCATGATGCCCTTTTGCCTCTGTTCATACTATTCCTTTTATCCGAACATCACCACTCTCTTCTCTGTCCTTTAAGCCCTCTGTCAAATGCCACTTCCTCCAGGAAATCTTCTTTGATCCCTTCAACTCCCCCATGACCTTCCCTTCATCTGAACTCTCTTGAGATCCTCCTGCATTGAAACTTACCCTTCCTGGGGGGCAGGGGAGGTAGAAGAGAGTGTAGGGGGGATAAATGGTGATGGGAGGAGACTTGACTTGGGGTGGTGAACACACAATGCAGTGTACAGATGAAGTGTTATAGAATCGTACACCTGAAACCTATATAATTTTATTAACCAATGTCAACCCAATAAATTCAATAAAAAGCAAAGAAAAAGTATCCTTCCTGCTCCTTTTGTCTTAATGGTGTGGGGACAGTGGTGGTGATGAGGCAGAAGCCCTACCTTGAGGCTATGACCTGGAAACTGCGAGACAGCTGCCTGGGCTGGCCCACTGTCTCCTCTGGGCCCACAATTTGTTGCATGATGATAAAACCACTTTTAAAGAAACATGTCCTTTCTGTTTTCAGTTGCTGGTTCTGGATAATTCTTGAGTGTGCCTCAAACCCAAGCCCAAACTGACACCCAAAACACAGAAACTTCTTAATGGAGAGGGAAGAAATTATACAGTTGGTTTTAGAGAAGCGAAAATTATGGAAAAGTACAGTCTCCAAAAGTGTATTCTTGTAAACTATGCAACAAAACAGTTAAACATCATGGTAAAAACAGAAGATTTTGATTAGCATCAAAGAGCAATCCAACCACTCCTACGAGGAAACTCAGCTTGCAGACACCCACTGGAGAGAGACTCTAAGTTCTGTGAACCTAAATCACAGTGCGCCTGCTCCCAAAGGCGAGAACACAGCCGTGATTTTCCCAGCAACTGCCTGTGGATGGTCAACACCCACTTGCTCCTCAAAAAACAGAAACAAAACAAAGAAACACTTCTCTCAACTAAACATGTTGCTTAGAGTGAATTCTCAAGTAATTCAAAGGTGGACTTCAGAAATTTCTTCTTTGTAAAGGATGGACTACTTAAAGATAAGAAATGTTTAATGCAATTTCTGAAACTAAAATTAGACAGAAAAATAGCTTAAAAAACTTTTATTTATTCTCTAAATACATGAAAACTAGGGTTCAAAAGCCAAGTTTTCTTGGCATCCTTCAGTATTTATGGAGGAAATGCCTCATTAGAATGAATAACTGAAACCTGACTACCTTATAGGATGGTTCTGAGGATTAAAAATATATGAAATTACAGATGAAATATTATAGAATTGTACACCTGAAACCTATATAATTTTATTAACCAGTCACCCCAATAAATTCAATAAAAATTTAAAAAATATATCAAGTTATTGTAAGTACTAAAGACACATATGGACAAGAAAAAGAAAAACAAAATGAAACAAAAACAAAACCCCCACAACTTTCCTTTTCCCTACTCCACTCCTCTTTGTAGCCCTACTTCCAGTCAACTAGGGAAACCAGTGAACTCATCCTCCCTTGTACTTAATAGCACAAACCTCCTGAAGATAATATCTCAGTGCAAAGGAAGGGATTCATCTATCCATCCATCCTACATTTGTTGAGTACCTCCTCTGAACACAAATGATGGCATTTCAGGCAGAAAAACACCTGAGTTTAACTAAGATGAAGACCCCAGGAATCACACCAGAAGGGCAACCCTGACTCTACCTGAAATAGAAGACACCATTTGGGGTGTCCAGGTGCAGGCTGGATAGGGCTACTGCTGATGTCACTGGGGCCTCCACCCCTTCGGAGGCTCTACCAGAGTCTGAGACCTCTGCTGGAGAAGGAGCCTCATGGTTTCTCCTCACTCACATAGTAGGGCTCCTGCTTTGTTCTTCCTCCTTCTTTACAGGGAAGTCTAAGAGATTCAGAGGAGGCGGGGGCAGTGCACAGAGGGGTTTTTTTTTAAACCTCAAATGTCTCTTGTCTCCTCCCCAACCGGCTTGCTGGTTGTAACAGTCTGGGCACCAGGGGGCAGCATTGAGCTTCATACAGCCCAGATATCGTCGCACTTTCGCTTTAATCAGATCCACTGTTACCAGTACTTCCTCAGTCAGATCTTTGTTCAAACTCCATTGCACAGATGGAGAAGCTAGAGGGTGGAGAAATAAACATAGGGGACACAGGAATAAGCCGAGTGTTTTGACTTTGGGAAAACATTTGCAGATTTTAGGAGACACAGGATGGAATTCTATTTTTGGCTGAAATTAGCCTGGATAAAGAGAGCAGCAGATACCGACCTAAAGGACTGAGTCAGTCCCATTCTGGGGCCAGACTCCTCTCCAGGCTGGGCTTTCTCTGCTTACTCTTTTAAAAAAGATTTTATTTTTTTTATTTTTAGAGAGAGGGAAGGGACGAAGAAAGAGAAGGAGAGAAACATCAATGAGCGAGAGAAACATGGGCGTTGCCTCTCGCAGGCCCCCAATCGGGCCCTACCACACCCATGTGTGGGTGCACATGGGACCTCCCAGAACACGGTTTCTCCTCCTCCTCCCTTTCTCGCCCCTAGTACTTCCACTGTGGAGGGCTTGATGTGGCCCTGCCTTCTCTGCAGGCTTGGACAAATCTTCCAGTCTTTCTAAGCCTCCTTTTTTTTTTTCTTCTGTAAAATGGAAATAATGATGGCATGCCACAGTCTCAGGATGAGACAGGTCCACGAAGGGTGAAGGCCAGGTGGGAGCGAACCTGGGCCCCCCTCGACAGCCTGGTAGTTACTGTGAGGTGAGAGGCCGGCACAGGTCTGGGTGTCGGTGTCCAGCATTCATTGGGAAGAGTCAGATCCCCCTCGGGAAGCCCAAGAGCAATAGAGTGAGAATTTAACTCAGAAACAGGAAAGTTCCCAGGGCAAGACGGTTCTCCCAAGGCTGAGGCTGAGGCCCCAGAGTAGGACTTTTGGGAAGAGGGCACCTTGAGTTCTGGTCTTGTGTCTGTGCTGTGGGATGCGTGTGAAACCTGTATCCTTTCTGGGTCCCAGTTTCCAACTTTGGCTGCAGGGAGAAGGGGTGTCAGCGTCTTCCCCCCCCCCCCCCCCCCGCCCCATTCATTTCGAAGGCTCTGTTAATGAGCCTCGCGTTGCTCCCACCGCCTAGGGACTGACTTACTGGCCTCGCCACCCCACCCACTGCATTCCCATTTCGTCACCTGAACGGGTCACCGGAGAGCTGGACAGGCGGACCCTGGCGGGGGCGCCCCCTCTTTCCTGTGCAGTGCCGGACAGACAGCCGGGGCCGGAGCCCGCCCAGAGTCCAGCTCCCTCCCTGGCCACTTGGCCTCCGGCTCAGCGCGTGGACGGCCCCGCCCGCCCCGCCCGCCGCACCTCCCCCGGCGCCCGCATTAAAGCGCATATGCAAGCCATGAATTATCAACTGAAAGGAGTCAATTACCGGCTCTAAAAACGAGTGTCTGCGCCCTGCGCCCGGAGCGCCCGGGGCCATCAGCCTATTTACGGAGCGATTTCCCCGCCCGGCCTCGGGAGGGAGAGAGACGGAGCCGGAGACCTGGAGGGAGAGAGATGGAGAGAGAGAGACTGGGGTAAAGAGAGCACAGACACGCAGAGACAGGGAGAGAGAGAAACTGGGACGGGAAAGGGAGACAGAGATTAGAGCAGCGCGCAGAGAATCAGAGCAGGCAAAAGCAGCGTGGGTGCCTCTTCTCAGAGCAGCAGAGAGAGGTGAGCCCCCAGGACTTCAAAGGCCCTGTGTTCGCCTCCCCGAGTGTTGGTGTAGGGACCCTAACCCTCCAGGCCT